TGTTTCTATAATCAGAGGGGATACACTTTTTAAAACTACTTCATGCCTCAGGCCAGTTGCTGCAGGCGGAAGTTTGAAACAAATAGCACTGTTTCAGTTTCTCCTCTTACTGTAACTAAGAGCCCCCACCCCCACCCCTCCTGGCCACTGCAAGCATTTCTCTAAGATAATGGCTCTTCAGAAGGAGGCTGAGGGCTCCTCTCGGCCCCTCACGGCAGCCCTTGGCAACCAGCTCCTTAAAAAGCACACAATTTAGGTGAAACATCTTGGATTGTATCTAGGCAGGGCGGGAGTGCTCTTTATATGTGAAACAGTTGGAAGAATTGCTCCCAAAGAAGTGAGGTTCAAACCAGCTTGCGCCGGTAGACTGTGTAGCAAATTGTAGGCTGTGATCTTTAAATATATATTGATTTCAGAGAGAGGAAGGGAAAGGGAAAGGAAGAGAAACATCAATGATGAGAGAATCATTGATCGGCTGCCTCCTCCATGCCCCTTACTGGGGATCCAGCCTGCAATTCCAGCATGTGCCCTTGACTGGAATTGAGCCTGGGACCCTTCAGTCCGCAGGCCCACGCTCTATCCACTGAGCCAAACCGGCTAGGGTGGCTATGAACTTTTTAATTAAAAAAGTAATAAGAGAAATGATTAATATGAAATTTATCGAGTCAAAACTAGTGGAATAATATCACTGATTGAGGGCTGGGCTAAATCTTACAAGGTAGAACATCTATTATGTCTCTTTAATTCTCTAGGGGAGTTTCATTTTTCTAAACCAAGGCATAAATTCCCCCCAGACTGCCCAATGATTTCAACTTAGACACAGCTGAGAATTTAGGGTACCCCAACAATAATGTTTGTTTTAGGAGGAATAAGCCTTCAGCAAAATCTCTGATTGGAGATAGCATGGAGCCCAGCTTTTGTTTGCACTGTTTCAGAAGCAGGCTTCATATCTATTTCTAGCTTTAGCATAACTTATTAATATCTTCTGAAATCTCCTGACTTTCTTAGAGTGAATAATATAATACTAGGTCAGAGCAAAGAATACAGTCACTTTCTTTTTATATAACTTAATTTTTTCCCCCCAAAAGGAAGAAAATGAAAATTATTTTCTCATCAACTGAAGATCAGAAGTTAGATTTTTAAAAGTTTTATTTACTTATTTACTAGAGTCCCAGTGCTTGACATTTGTGCACTTGTGGGGGGGTCCCTTAGCCCAGCCTGTGCCCTCTTGCAGTCCGGGGGCCCTCAGGGGATGTCCGACTGACAGCTTAGGCCTGCTCCCTGCATGGGAGCCTAAACCATCAGTCGCATATCAGCGCTGCTGCCACCACTGCTGCGCTCTCCAGCCTGGCTTCTGGCTGAGTGGCGCTCCCCCTGTCGGAGCACACTGACCACCAGGGGGCAGCTCCTGCGTTGAATGTCTGCCCCCTGATGGTCAGTGTGCATCATAGCGACCGGTAGTTCTGCTGTTTGGTCAATTTCCATATTAGCCTTTTATTATGTAAGATTAGAATATGTTTTTATTGATTTCAGAGAGGAAGAGAGAGGGATAGAAAGATAGAAACATGAAAAAAAGAAGAAACATCAACGATGAGAGAGAATCATTGATCAGCTGCCTCCTGCAAGCCCCCTACTGGGGATGGAGCCTGCAACCTGGGCATGTGCCTCAACTGGGAATTGAATCCTGACCTCCTGGTTCATAGGTTGATGCTCAGCCGTGTGGGACGTGGCTACAGTGTCTTGGCCAGGTTCAAGCCTCGTAAGATTAGAATATGTTTTTATTGATTTCAGAGAGGAAGAGAGAGGGATAGAAAGATAGAAACATGAAAAAAAGAAGAAATATCAACGATGAGAGAGAATCATTGTCAGCTGCCTCCTGCAAGCCCCCTACTGGGGATGGAGCCTGCAACCTGGGCATGTGCCTCAACTGGGAATTGAATCCTGACCTCCTGGTTCATAGGTTCACACCCTTACTTTGCCTCGTGGCATCTGCTATAAAATAAAGACACGGCTTGTGGGTGCTGGCTCCTCATCAGGGAGCAGCGTGCCACCGAGACCCAGCTTTCATTCTCTTGTCTGTCTTTTCTCAGTCCTTTCCCCGCCCCCTCAGGATCACCTTTGGCCGTAACACAACCGAGTTAGGTTACTGCCCTGAGCGCCACGCGGTGGAAGCAGAGGAGTAGATCTCGGGGACGAAGTCATGGAGAAAAGAGGGCAGAGCCCCTGTCAGCCTGGGTTGTTCTTCGTTGGTAATTCCCGTGATTTTGTCTTTTCCCGTCACTCCTGGGAATCACTGTGCCCACGAGCAGGAACAGTCAGCTCAGCCTTGCATTGTGAAATACAGGCGGAAACTCCGAGGTTCCGTACTCCCTGAGCTTTGCAACTTCCAGACTTGATTATGTAAGCGGTTGTAATTTTGATGTCGTCCCTGGGACCTAGGAAGGAAAGCGTTGACAGCACAACAGGAGAGTCAGGGCTCTGTGCTGGCATCGGTCCCCGAAGTGTGTGCTCGTCGATTTAGATGCTTGTTTATGACGCCTTTGATCTGAGAAGATTGCTTGCTCTGTTTGAAGCATAAACTGCCATTCCCACACGAGGAAGCAAGATGTACAATCTCTGAGTAATAACACGGTTTACTCATTTTTCTAAAATGGCACCATCCAAATGATGTCTTCTTAATTCTGCCTGTAAGTTTTTCATTTTGAAGTTAGCACATTCTCTTCTCAAAAGTTGGCTTAGAAAACTCAGGAAATGAAGTGCTTTTTCTTTTTGAATTGTGTAATTGAAGTGCAAAGAACTGTAGGTTTATGGTGCTGTAGGCTAGTTTTCCAATTCAAGAAAGCTTTCTTCGTGATACGTATTCGTCGTATTCACTTGTTCATACTCATAAGTGAACAGTAAGAAGACATTCTGTTGTGATTCACTTTATTTCATCATGGACAGTAAGAAGCCCTGCTCAGCTTCATTCGTCCTTAAATGGCCCAACTTGATGCGAAACCAAAGATTTCTGACTAGACGTATCCTGGATGTGTTTTCATGGAAAAGGACGTATACGTTGTTTGGATAAGGTGCACTGCTGACAGACCATCTTATTTAAGGTGCTTTTCAAGGACCTTTCCTCTTCCAGACTTTACAGTTTAGCAGGACTGTTTCCCAGCCACTCTCCCGGGCACACAGAGACGGGTGAGACGTGATTTCCGCCCGTGCTGAGTGGAGTCGTGTGTAGGCGGATTCCCATGAGCAGGTTTTCAGGACTGTCATTGGCCTTCACCGGCCTTGCTAGGGGCCACGGGTGGTGGTGGTGGTGGGGGGAGGGTCCAGTTCACCTTGTGGAGGAGAGGAAGGGCAAGAGACAACTCTGTTGTTTCCTTTATAAAAATTCAACTTGTCTTCCAGGCGCTGACTGATGAACCATTGGGATATGGGTAGTATTTGCAATTGAGAATATTGATGAGATTTTCTAGGAAAAGAATTCAAAAGACAGAGATGAATGAACTAAAGGTAGAAAATTCTGGGGCAAGAAAGCAACCTTCATAGGACAATGGTTGAAGAAGCGTCATCTAAAACCATGAGTTTAGCACTCTGGACTGCAACTTATTAGGTTATAAAATCAATATGTGGATGTGAAATTAATACAGTTACTTATAGACAGAATTTTAAAAACACAGAGAATAGGAAATATTGGTGTGTAGGTAGTAGAGGTCATTATTGTTTTGTGAAAGAAGTTAGGAATAAAAAACAACCCTTTAGCTTTGTGACTGCTTAGCTATGAAGTAAAAATAATAACCATGATTTTAAGCTGGTTGACTGGGAAGATGGTAAGTAGAATGTGAAAAAATAAGGAAGAAAACTTTTATTTTTTGGTAGGAAATTGAAAATTTTATTTTTAAAATATATTTTTATTGATTTCAGAGAGAAAGGGAGAGGGAGGGAGGGACAAGTGAAACATCAAAGATGAGAATCATTGATTGGCCGCCTCCTGCACATCCCCTACTAGGGATTGAGCCTGCAACCCAGGGAAATTGAACTGTGACCTCCTGGTTCCTAGGTTGACGCTTAACCACTGAGCCACACTGGCCAGGCAGGAAAATTTTTCTCGATCGTATTGAATTTTATTTCACAGTCAAGTGAAACGATGAGCAGGGATTACAAACTGAAGATGGAGATGTTTGGGCATCGCCCGTAAGGGAGTTATGGAAACCCTGGGTATGCCTGAGCTGTCCCAGGATAACTGGTAGGTGTGGACACGGAAAGCCCGGGGAGTCAAAAACAAGGTCATGATACCGCCTCCCCGCCCCGAATTTCCAGTGGTGCCCACATCTGCTTTGTAGAAACTCGACAGCTGATTCCAGGAATCTTTACGGACAGAGACGGGCACTCTGTCCAGGGACTGGCCGTGGTCTGGCGCCCACTGTCTTCCTGGCGTCCATCCTGGAGCGCTGGTTGTGTCCTCCGCTCCCGCTGCCACCATTGGCGGAGGGGGAGCCTCGGTTGCGGCTTGGCCCCTTCCCCCCAGAAATGGGTGCTCCCCCTCATGACGTCTAAGGGCCCGGGAGCCCCTGGTGGGAAAGCTCAGCTGGCGTGTCTGTGTCTTTGGCTCCCGCCCCTTGTTCCGGGGCCTCTGGGCCCATTGCGACCATTCTTTTCCAGGTGGGCTTCGCTCCTCCCTGAGTCTCCTCTTGGGAGGGTGACTCGCTTCTTCCTCCTGCCTCCTCAGCCCCCCGCAGGCTTTCCACGCCTCTTTCCTGGAGTTAGGAGACATTGGAACACCCACATTTTCCCTTTCCAATCCCTGTCGGGAAGGTATTTTTCTCCTGGTTCCCCCGTGACGAATCCCGATGGCCTTCTGGAAACTCATCATTCGCAGTTGTGTTAGAGCAGCACTTTGCTGAAAGCGACTGAGTTAGAGATGTTTTATTGCACTGCACAGAGCTAAGACGTGCAGGAGCCATGGCGATGGAGAAACTCGCATGACGGATGTGTCTTTCCCTGTTTCGCAGCCCTCGTTGAATCCTGGAGGGAGCCAGTCGTCCGACGTGGTGCTTCTGAATCACTGGAAAGTGAGGAACTTGGAAGTCCAGCGCGGTGACATTGTGTCGTTGGTGTAAGTAGCCCAGAAACGTACTGTATGTGTTCATAAATGGCAGCCTCCTTGAACTGGGCATCTGCCGCTAATACCACATCGCCAACTATTAAATTAATAGGTACATTTAAAATGTGATGCGTTTTAAAAAATCAATTTTGAAATGTAACAATGCTATATAAAAGGGGTTTTGTTTTACATTTAAAATGTATCCACTGGTTGACCTACTTGGATTTGGTAAAATGAGTTTAATGAAGAGTTGATTGGAAGTTACTATATTGAAGACTTAGAGTGTATATGTTTGGAATTAGTTTGAATTATTTAGAAATTTTGCATCTTGGAGGCAACCTCTGATGCTCATGTTTTATGCATTTGTGTAGGGACAGGATATTCCTAGGATCATTGGGATGTGAAATCCTGTGGCCTCTCAGTGATTTAACTGGAAAAAGGAGGTTTCGGAGGCTGGCAGGCTGGAGGCTTTTGCTTGGGACCAAAAGGTGGCGCTGTTTCCCTGTGAAAGTAGGACAACTGGTCAGGAACAGGCATTGCACTCCTGTCCTGGGAAGAGAAGGAGAGCACGATCCACAGGGACATCGTACCGCCCAGCACATGCCTGGCGGGCGGAGAGCTGAGACTTTCCTGTTTGTTTGTTTTAAAGGGAATTCTCTCCGAGAAGCCTGCGACAGACCTGCCTTACTGCTTCTGGCTGCAGCCCCTTGTAGAAATGGCTAGTGTGATCCCCTGCCATGCCAGGTGGTGCACTGGGTAGCAGTTGATGGAGCCCTGCTTGTCATTTATGTTAACAGTCCAATCCCCCGCTGGGTGCAGGCCTCCATGTTGCGTTTCTGATTCTTGAATTGGGAGGCCCGATTCTCGGTGGGCCTATTTATAACTGTTCGGTGAAAGCAAAACCGGCATCGACTTGTTCACACTCACCTCCGGCTGGTGCCTGTGGAAACAGGTATCGTGCAAGTGTGGCTCAGGGAGCCTGTTGGGCCAGGATTCGCGTGAAGGTACACGCACTGGACCTGGTGAGGGACTCATGGGACGAATACGCTTGAGTGTGTTCTGGATGGCAGGCCCCCCCCCACCTCATTGGGGATTGGAAGCTCCCTGTGTCCTTGAGCACTTGCTGCAACACGCACCTCCCCTCGGAGCAGGCAGGGGTCTGCCCTTCAGGGCCCTGGCTTTGCGACCTCGCTGGCAGGTTAGCCTGTCCCAGCTTAAGGTTCTCGTGCCTCTGGTTGGGCAAGGTCACATCCTCACTCAGCTGGGGATGGAGAGGACGCCGCCGAGTGAGGGAGGTCACTGTCCGCAGACAGTTGTCATTGTGTTTTTCTTTAGAAACTTGCTGACTGTCTCTAAGCAAGTGGATCAGAACAGGTGATTGGGGGGAAAATGGCTCCTTGAAGTTCTGGGTTGCAGGGCTCATAGAATTACCCTGGCTTATCATAGACTGCTGAGGGGCAGGAAAAATGAGACTGCTCTTCTGTGTAAACAGTAAAGCGATGATATTTATTATATAAATTAATTTCAAGCACAGTACATTCCAATTGATGTTGATGTGATAAACTAGCTACTTTGGTTGAACTGTATTCTTAATGAGTTAATTATGTGCTATATCTGTCTTGTACAAATAACAGATTTTCCTTCGTAATGCTTGTGCTAGCAGGAGCTACTTATAATGAAGAATGCTTAGTTAAGGGCGTTATATTTAACAACAAATAATTAGTGTTGCTTTCAACATTCTTTAGCATGATGTAATACTCTAAACGGTACCATTTAGCCCGGTCGGCGTGGCTCAGTGGTTGAGCGTTCACCTATGAACTGGGAGGTCATGGTTCAATTCCTGGTCAAGGCACAAGCCCAGGTTGCGGGCTTGATCCCTAGTGTGGGGCATGTGGGAGGTAGCTGATGGATGATTCTCTCTCATCATTGATGTTTCTCTCTCTCCCCCTCTCCATTTCTTTCTGAGATCAATAAAAATATATTTTAAAGATACCATTTAAAGTATCAAGTTTTGTGAGCAAAAGTGCTTTCTAAACATGTCTTTATATGTTCACATATTTTTAGGGACTGCTTCATTTGAAAAGATTGACATTGGTTTGATTAATGTTCATAATATACATTTAATTCATGTCAGGAAACACTATTTGCTTTTTCTATAAAATACATCAGCCACACACACCACACATAGACACACACCACACATACACACCACACACCACACGCCACATGCCACACATATACACACACACCACACCACACACACACACCACACACACTACACACCACACATATTTACATACACCACACCACACACACACACCACACACCATACCATACATACACACACACTACAACACACACATACCACACACACTACACATACCACACACACACCACATACACCACACACACCACACACCATACACACACCACACACACAGCTTTTCATCAGGTGAGACCTACGTGTGTGGCGCCCTCAGTGAATGTCAGTGTGACCTCTGAGTGAGGGTCTGCCTGTTGCCGGGTTTGCAACAAGTAGCCTTTCCTAATATGGGTCCTCAAGGCTTCTCCTCATCAATGGAAATAAACAGTTATCCAGAAAACAGTCTTCCCGTACCTCCTCAGAGAGAAATGTTTCCTGAGCTCAAAGCACTGATCAAGTTGGGCGGCTGTCGCGTCAGCACCATCCCCTTCCTCATTAGCCACAGACATGTCCTAGCACCTGTGTGTGTGTGTGTGTGTGTGTGTTTGTGTTTGTGTTTGTGGTGCGTGTGTATGGGGGCGTGTGAGTGTACCTCAAAGCCATTTTATACAGTGACAATAATCGCTCCTTGTTCATTATAGTTATTGTAGCTGACATGTGCTAGTAAGCCAAGTAAGCAAATTTTTAAAATAAAGTTGTTTCTTTTTACCTTGAAAAGAAGGCTTATGGCTTGCAGTGAGTAAGGAGGGTTTCTTTTCCCAAGTCTTCTTCCCAGCTTCTTGCCTTTTCCTAAAAAGGTGCTCAATCTCATAGTTTTCCTGCCCTTTTCCAGCCACATCTGG